TTACCATGCCATTTTGATTCCCCCTAAAAACCACCGAAACGGTTTTGAATGATTCTCAATAACTTTTTTAGTTCTAGAGATATTGCCGATTGCAAGTTTTAAAGTTGACACCCTGTATATCTGATGTTCTAAATATTCGAGCATCATGAACACTACCTGGCCATCTACAATCCACATCTGTGAACATCAGATTGCTTGTACAAATTCCTTGGAGCACCACAGAATAAAAAAAATTTTTATTGAAATAATCTACTCCATGTGGCGTAGGTTTCTTTATAGGTATGTGGCAGCCATCAACTACATCAATTACATTAGGGACTCCAAATCGAGCGAAATTTTGAGATATAGCATTGCGTTCATTTACAGTGGGCCACTTAATGAACAATTTACATAAATGAACTAGAATCACATCAACAATCTTATGAACACACATAAACACGGTGGATTTTGTAATGTTAAATCTGTCTCCTATAGGTCGATAACATTCTGGATTTGCCAATGTCCAAAGTGCTGCAAGCAACATCTTTTCAACAGGTATTTGTGGCATTCCTCCATACAATAGTGGATCTTTTCTGTTTAGTTCAGGTGCATTTGCTATATGATTCAATATTGCTTCAAATGATGTTCTTGTTATCCTAAAGTGGCTTCGAAAAGTTGAAAAATCATAACGTGGGATAACTTCTTCAAAGAAGTACTGGCACTTTGGTATTTTTTTATTATATAGTCTGCAAATTGATACCTTGTTTAAAAATGAAAAACATTGTTTACTTACAATTTCCAAATTGCTTTAATCATGCCGACAGGCATTCTAATCTGTTGAAGTAAAATTTGATTTCTGATTTCCGCTGCATTTTGACACGTTCTGACTATAGAAATAGTAATTCCCACCTGATTTTCCATGTATGTTTATTATTAATATGTACAATTACAAATTAGGTACATATGTTTATCAAACATATGTGTGTCAAATTTACAATGAACTTAACCTCACTTTTAGGTTCCACCTTACTGACGTAATTATTACCGTTTTGTTGTATAGCTTGTTCCAAATCTGGTGGCGAACTGACGTTGTCAAAAATGACTGAATTTTGACACTAAACATATGTTTACTATTAAAAAAAATATTGTTCATAGGCGTCGTATGAAATAATATTTCAAAACCACTGTTATTTTTTAAAAAATTATAATAAGTAGGTTCTCATACATAAGATGAAGAATAATGAACAAATTATTAAATTGTTAACGCATGAAAAGAATTTTCAAAAATGATATTTCTAACAATCTTTGTCTTCAAAATTTTTAAAGAAAAAAAGTAGGCCTATGTATTTTTTTATCTTAAGCAAGTGGGCGCACTCCAATTGTCTTTTCTGTCACTGTCAGTTCGCCACCAGATATGGAATAAGCTCTACCCACAAATGCTGATCATTCTACTTCTTTCCAGGATAACATCAACAAAACGCACCCATTGTTATTTTTGTTACAAGTATAAAAAACACAGTTTTTGTTAACGAATTGTTGTTTCCGGACGATGTGAAACTGAGTCTGGAATAGCAGATGAGTCCGCAAAACGTTTTAGGTACAAAGAACATTTTTTTGTTAAAGCTCCCAAAACACGAATTCACACCTCCCTTAAATTAAAAAAATTGCGCCACCATAGTAAGCAATTTTATTTTTTAGTATGGAAAAACTGTTTTTAGGGACTGAGTACCTAAAATAACCATTTTACGTACAATTTTATTGAGTCCGGAAAAGACTCATTTTAGAGACTCAAATGAGTTCCTGTCTTCGGGAGCGTATACAAAAAACTCATTTACCAGTTTTAAAAAGTGGGTTGCCTAACTTGGGTTGCTAATCTAGTTACTTTTTGTGTTTTTAGCTTGTTATTGAAAGTGAGGTTATGTTCAGACAGCAGAATAGTTTATAGCACGCGACGTGGTCGGTTTCATTGTGTTATTGTATTGTGTATGGTTGTTCGTATGTGTAAAACTTTTATTAGATTAAAAATAAGGACTTTTGAACTATTAGTGTAATGTGTGTTGGTAGGCGGTGGCGATAATTCTTACAATATCTGGTTCCGGTAAGTTTTCAACCATTCAACCGATTTTCCGGGTAAGTGATAAATTTTTATTTGCGTTTAAATTTTCGAAGGTTTACTTTAGTTTTGTAAAAATTGTTTTGACTTCAATTCACGTCCATTTTTTCAAATATTAACCAATAAAATTGCTGATGTTAACTTTCTCATCTTCGCAACAACAAATTCAAGCGAAGATTCCATCTATATACAGGTGCGCCAGAACTCGTGTCCAAGAGAAAAATGCCATGTAAGGTAAGATATCAGGAACATGGAAAATATGTTAAAAAAATTCAATTCTATCTATTAAAATGTCGAAGTTATGAGAGTTTAAATTTTGCACTTTGACTTTATTTATTTCTGTTTGAAAAAAAAATTCCAAGTTTTTTTGCTACGGGTTACTAGTAGAGGAAGCTGTATCCTAAATTGGGTAAATTTTTTCTTAGCCACTTCTGGAATTTTTAAAAATTTTTATTTGCAATTTGCTTTAAAAAACCTCTAGATTGAAGATATCACCTTGAAAGTTTGTGCGGATGCCTCGTTTTCGAGTTAATGACCTTGATACCAAAAATTCTACATGTTTGTTTTGAATTCCGCTTTTAGAGGAAGCTGGATCCTAAATTGGGTAAATTTTTTCTTAGCCACTTCTGGAATTTTTAAAATTTTTTATTTGCAATTTGCTTTAAAAAACCTCTAGATTGAAGATATCATATCACCTTGAAAGTTTGTGCAGATGCCTCGTTTTCGAGTTAATGACCTTGATACCAAAAATTCTACATGTTTGTTTTGAATTCCGCTTTTAAAACCCTGTAGATTAAAGATATGACCTTGAAACTTTGTTCAAATGCCTCACTTCCAAAATAATGACCTTGAATGTTACAAATGTGACATTTTTTAATTTTTTTTCTTGCATTTTGCTTAAAAAAGCATCTGGTTTGAAGGTATGACCTTGAAAGTTATATTAATTGTGTTGTCATTTGGTCATACATAAAATGGGGTCGTAATTTACAGCGATAGTTTAATACATTTTACACACTAAAATTTAATAAATAATCGGTAATAAATGATATTAACTGTTTATTTGAAAACCAAAGTGTTTTCTTTTAATTTAATTTTGTAGAAAATGTCTGTCTGATACTCTTTTGTATATTTTTTATTGAACACTTTTTCCTTAGTTACAACAACGCTAACTATTATTTATGCAAAATTCGTTTATTAAATCTGTCTGCAACATTAACCGTAAATGTCAAAAAAGCAATTATAAACGAAATACGGCGCCTTCGGCGCCGCCCAGTTCGTAGCGGGCAGACTCGGGCGGGCGCGGAGCGCCCCAGCGAATGAAAAAAGAAGAATACTCCTCGAACGATTTAATTCGTAAACGTGGACCTCGAAATGTGGAATGCGCGTTTTTGTGGAATTTTTAACAAGTGTGCAGTATGAATATATTAACTGTAAACTGTTATATTCAGATTCGAAAGGGTCCTAATAAGGTAGGTTTTATAGGATTATTGCAGCCTTTTGGGGATGCTATTAAGTTGTTTACTAAGGAACAGACTTTTCCTATATTTTCTAATTTTTTAATTTACTATTTTTCCCCTATTATGAAATTTTTTATTGCTTTATTACTTTGTATAATAATACCTTTTTTGACTGTTTTYTTTAATTTTAATTTGTCATTATTGTTTTTTTTGTCTGTGTCTAGACTAGGGGTTTATACTATTATGTTGGCTGGGTGATCTTCTAATTCTTCTTATGCTTTGCTTGGAAGGCTACGTTCAATTGCTCAAACAATTTCTTATGARGTAAGATTAGGTTTAATTTTAATATCTTTTATTTTTTTAATTTTAAGAGTAAATTTAATTGATTTGGGATTATTTCAAATTAATTGTTGGTTTGTTTTTTTATGTTTACCTCTATGTGGTATTTGAGTAATTTCTTCGTTAGCGGAAACTAATCGGACTCCTTTTGATTTTGCTGAGGGTGCGCCAGAACTCGCGCCCCAGAGAAAAATTTCAAGTAAGGTAAGATACCAGGAACATGAAAAAAATGTTTAAAAAATTGTATCTGTGAAAAAGTTTTGACATTTATTTTTTGACATTTGACATTTTTTTTATATCTATTTAAGGATACTGATGATCTTGTATATGTTTTTTTACAATTATTTAGTAAAGGAACAAAAATTTTGCCAATAAAAACCACAAATAACATTGAACAGAGTTACAATTTAGGATACAGCTTTTTTGCTTCCTCTTTTAATAGCCTATATCAAAAAAACTTGGAAAATTATTTTTGCAACAGAAATAAATAGAGTCAAAGTGCAAACTTTAAACCCTCATAACTTCGAAATTTTTATAGATAAAATTTTTTTAACATTTTTTCCATGTTCCTGGTATCTTACCTTAAATGGCATTTTTCTCTGGGGCGCGAGTTCTGGCGCACCCTGTATAAAAAAAACGAAAAACGAAACACGGCGCCTTCGGCTCCGCACAGTTCGTAGCGGGCAAACTCGGGCGGGCAGGCAGCGAAAAAAGAAGAATACTTCTCGAACGATTTAGTTCGTAAACGTAGACCTCGAAATGTGGAATACGCGTTTTTATGGACTTTTTCAAGTGTGCAGTTTGAATATACAAGGTGATTCTTTTAGGGCCTACATTAGAAACTATTTAACTTCTAATGCAGATAGGAATTTGAAATTTTGTACACAACCCAAATCAACCAGTCTGAGTTCAACTAAATTATTTTCAAAATATCTGAACTTCCGGAACTACGAGAAATTGGCGCCAACTTTGAAATTTTAAATGGTACCCACTTATTTTTATTGCATTTTTGAATTCTCCTCTTTAAACTAAGTAAAATGTACCTAGTTGTTAGTACTTATCTATCATAGTTTTTGACATTGTCAATTTTTTGTTCAAAATTTTCACTTGCAGGGGTTCATTCACAACATCACAGCTCTTGAACCCTTTGCGATAAGTGAATATTTTTTATTGCATTCGAAAACCAAAGGTTCGAAAAATTTTCTAGAATTTTTAAAATTGTCGACTGTCAAATTGCAAGGCTAGTATGATTTTTTGAAAATGATCATTAACAAACAGCTTTAACTCAGTTTTTTCAAATGAAATAACTCTATTGTCTCAACGGCAATCAAAACTACATCAATTTGTAGAAGGACTTTTATCAACATGTCCTATACCTATCTCTTACAGTTTTTGAAATAATCACAAAAAACATGTTAATGTTTTTATTTTTATAGTTAATCACGTAGGCTTTGGAAAAATACATTAAGATATACCATAATTAATGCAAATGTTCGATATTTTCAAACAGTCCAAAACTCGATGGTGAACTGATTTGAGTAGCTTCCATTAGTTTATTTGGTTGAAGATTATTAAATGCCGCCTCAATCCTTGCCTCAATTCTTCATAATTCCGGATGGGTGTTGTGTAGACTAATAAATCTTTAGTTCGTCTTGATCATTTTCCAAAGCCTACGTGATTTACTATAAAAATAAAAAACAAAAACACGTTTTTCGTGATTATTTCAGAAACTGTAACAGGTGGGTATAGGACATGTTGATAAAAGTCCTTCTACAATTCGATGTACCTTCGATTGCCGTTGAGAAAATGGGGTCATTTTATTTGAAAAAACTGAGTTATAGCTGTTTGTTAAATACATTTTCAAAAAATCATATAAGCTTTGCAATTTGACAGTTGACAATTTTGAAAATTCTAGAAAA